TATATTCACGAGCTTCGACTGTGTAATCGGGAATCATTTGTCGACAAGATCACCAATCAATTGAAACTTTCATCTTCATTTGTAGTTCTGATTCCGCTGACTCGGAACCTGACTTCCTAAAAGCCACGCTCGCAGAAAACGGTTACCCTAACCGATTTATTGACAGCAACATGAAAGATAAGCATTCTAAACTGGTCATCGACACAGTTCCAAAGAAAACCTTATTCATGAACTTGGAATTCAAAGGTGATCAAGCATCAGATATGCTCAAAAACCGTCCCTCTAAAGCAGTCAGTAAGACGTTCTTTGCAACAAAATTACAAATGACGTTCACTAGCCGCAAGTTGTTCTCTACCTCTGTAAAAAATAAGCTCCCCCGTCTGGCCGCCTCCATGTGCATCTATCAGTTCACCTACTCTTGTGGAGCAAGGTACATTGGCCGTAGTCAGAGGACACTTTCCACACGGATACGAGAACATATTCCAGCATGGTTTTACAAGGGAGAAAGGAAGTGTGTGCGAAGCTCTATTTTGGAACACTCTGATCGACTTCTGCCACTCTGTCAACCCTGACCATGATTTTAAGATCATATATAGAATCCATGCTAACTTCCCGCATTTTCTTCGTTACATACTTCTAAAGACAGCTGAGGCCTTGGCACTTCATGACTTTAAGCCAGACCTTTATGTACAAAAGAAGTATGTAAAATCCCTACTTCTGTCTTGGTCGTAAAGGGATAGACATTTATTTATTTTGTTTATTTAGTTATTCCATGTACCTTTCCCTTATTACTACGATTATTATTATTATTACTATTATTATTACCATTATTATTAGTATTCTCACTCTAAATCTTTTCCACTTGACCCACTTGTCATTCTAAACCCAAAATTTTAAATTTTTATGTTTTTTATTTTTACAATATTGAATTCTATCTTATTAAATTTCACACCATGTTATGTAACATGTTATATTCGTCTACTAATCTTATGATTATGTACCCCTTTCTAAATCTATACACCTTATGTATTATTCTATATACGACATTAATTATTTCGCCACTTGACATTAAACTATGATTATAATCACAAATATTTTAATTGCATTACATATTATTATTATTTCATGTATTCACGCCTTTGACCTAATTCCCTCACCGGATATAATTTTTATAAAAACCATATATATACAACTGTACAGCTTGATAATAAATTCGTTGTTGAAAAGAGTCTCTTCGCTGAATATTGTGTTCTTAATGCTACAATGGGAATTACTAAATTATCTTTTATTTCTCCTGTAAACCGTGCATCGATGACACGTCTCTTTTTCAAATCAAACTGAAGCACAAAGGTATATTAAAAAAGTGAAAAGTACCTATAAGGCGCCTAGGTTGATTCCCATCACTAACACTTTGTTATACTTCACCTTCAGTATCAATTATAATAAACTTAAAATAAACATTGCACAATCAACACTTCACTGAATTACGACGCTAGGAGTGCACCAGGATGTACTTGAAATCGTGGTTTTTGAAGTTCACCTTGACAAAAATAAGCGTGTCATAATGAGTGTAATTATTATTATTTTATTATAATTGTTCCCTTGGGTTCCTAGTGGAACATAGGGCTTCAATTGCACGTCTCCACTTGCCTCTGTCTTCTACTGTACTTCTCACCTGCATCCATGTTAGTCCATACTGTTTCAACTCTTCTTCACACGATCTCCTCCATGTCACCCTTGGACGTCCCACTCACCACTTCCCTTCCGGGTTCCACTCGAGCATTGGCCTGACGCGTGATGTCACCCAGCGGCCTCCTCAGCGAGTGTCCAATCCATCTCCACTTTCTCTTGCATATTTGTTGAGCGATTGGTTCTTGTTCTGTTTGTTCCCATAGTTTCTTGTTGGTGATTCTTTCCGGCCATCTGATCTTCAGTATAGAACGAAGACAGCTGTTGATAAAGGTCTGCAACAGGCTGTTGGAAATATTCTTTGTGACCCGCCAAGTTTCTGATGCGTATAGAAGAACTAACTTGACGTTTGTGAAATAAAATAGTCTAACTTCATCCTCATAGAATTTACCAATGGATACATTTAGTTTATGTTTGTAATCTAGCTGTAATTAGCTTTACTTGATGAAGTTCAGTTGTAAATTTTCTTGCTTTACAAAAATATTATCCCACATCTCTCTCCAGTTTCCCCCTGCCCTCTTATACTTTCGCACACTGCCCATGTCTTCGGATCACAGTTGCTCTCTTTTCCCCCGTTTATCCATCTCACTTTCGAAAATAGCCTACATTTTCCCACTTTGGGCCATTTTCGAGGGGGAAACTGCCCATGTTCTTACGCACATATCCCAGGTCTGGAAAACAAAATTCTCCAACTGGGATATATATGCGTTGAATAATGCATTCATAGTCTTATTAGTCGACAGATTCAAGGGACGAAAAGTTGACTATGTAAATCTGCATAGACTTTGCTAAATGCAGTGGGAAAATATATAATTATCACTTAATTATTATATGATGACCGCTAGTAGTCATACTTAACTAAACGTATCTTTACCACCGATTCTGGATGGGATGAATTAAAGTATAAGTATTTATTAGAGTGTGTCGGTTTCCTATAAATACTAGCTGGTATCTAACCCCTCACCATCTTGTTTTCGTTTTTGTTCTACAGTCTAGCATGGCCAACTCACCCTGTTCGTTTTCTAACTCAGAAGTGAATTCCGTGGATTCCGTCTACTGTTGAGTTTATATGTGTGAGGAATTGAGGGATATGTTCGGATTTCAACACACTGATGGAATGTGTCATCCACATATCTCCAAAAATAACCTTGGAGCAGCAGGATTAGACGTTCTAAGAGCCTTATGTTCCCAACTATTCATATATATATATATATGTAAGCCACTATTGGCGATATTGGTGATCCCATTGCCACCCTATTCGTCTGTTTATACATTTTATTTTGAAATTTGAATACAGTGGAGGTTAGGCATAACTGAACATCTAATATTATTTCACCAATAGAGGGCTTAGTCCTACTCTTGAGTTGGGTATCAGTCGTCAGTTCATTTCTAAGTGCCTCCAAGAAACCGGGTGGCATTTAAACCAATCAACCAACCAACCGAATCACTCACACAGATAAACTTTGTTTGTCGGCTTAAGAACCTGCTCGATAGATCCGACTAAGAAAAATAACAGAATTTACCAAATACCATGCGTGTAATGACTGTGAGTGAGGTCAATTACACAGGCCAGTCAAACTAGTAGATCGGGGTCAGCTAGATTATTGAAATACAAAAATTTAGCTAGACACCTAGAATGATTGACCGTACTAAGTTAAATGACCTAGAAAAAACAGAGTTCAGCAATTGCATTGCATTCACTTACATGTAATCACACGGTGGAGTGGGTGGCACAGGATGAGAGTATTAAAAAGGCAGAGAGATAGACAGAGAGGCTAATCACTGAAGCTTTGTTTATCGACTCAACACCGCATACGTGTAGTAGGAATGACTCAAGGCCTATTTCGGAGATATAAAATGTGGCATCAAACAACAAGGCGAGGTTGAAGAGACAGAAAGAGAGAAAACATATACAAGGCAAATTGAGGAACTGTGTGACTAAAATTGATATGATGATGAGTTTAGAACAACACATTTAACCGAACAATATTTTGCTTTCAATTAGATCTCATCAGGCTTAACTCTAATACTCCCACATAACTTTACAAATAAAATTTCAAATATAAACCAATCATGGTGTTTTGTCTATAGGATAATACGATGGTGAATATAAATTGTGCAATAAGTCATAATAGTAGTAATAATAATAATAAAAATGGTCTTATCAATAATAAGGATGAAAAAGTGAGGCAATCTGTGATAACACGAATAATGAAAAACAGCATGATTAAACAAACAACTGTTCAGGTGGAAGTAGTCGATAAAGGCTAGTAAAAACAAATGAACCGATTAAGTAATGTTAGATTGTAAGGGAAGGAAATGAAACACGTTTATAACGAAGATAAGATTAAGGGATGATAAGAAAGGGGTTGAAAATATAAACAAAGGGTGGTGTAGAAGTCATTAGTTGGTTATGTCTTAATAGGTCAAGAAAGGGATAATGGCTGTACGAACTTCTTTTGAATGCATAGTTTAGGCTTAATAGTTCGAATGCCTATTGCCTCAGCTGTGTGCAGTAGACGAATACGAAGTCTATTGGAAAGATTCGGTGGGATACGATGAATTACTTTGAAGGCTCTCGTTTTCTCCACTACATGACCACTATCAATTAAGTGTGACAAAATTGAACTACGGATCGTTTTTGTCTGTCCTTTGCCAAACCACGGTGGGAGATGTTCACTAACACGTTGACTAAGCTGTCTAGTAGTACGCCCAATATAATTGTCACCGCAGGTGCAGTCGAATTAATAAATACGCATAGATGTGTGACAAAACCATCAAGCTTATCCTTCTTTTGCGTCCCAATCATTCGTCGGCTAGAGAATGACAAACATAGGTGTGCCGCATAAAATGTTCTTCGTATACTCCTTCAAAATCTTTGGAATAGAATCTCACTTGATAAGTCACCATTAAATTGTAATGAGTGGCAATAATTTATGCTCGAAACCTTGTCATCCAGTTGTTAATAATACTGCATCATCACTGTGTGATTTTTAAAATAAACTTTTCTAATGTATTCTTTATTTCATTTTACTCATGTACTGATCTGATTTATTGCATATGAATTTGTAAGGGTTCTATATTTTGCTAATATCAACTGAACTCTAGTCAGCACGATAGTTCGGTTAGTTGGCATTTTGTTTCACTGTAAGTCCTGTCTTATTCTAGAATTCTTGTATTTTTCAACAGATTGTTTTTACCTCTAACTTATCTTTGGAATAACTTGATTAACTTGACTTTGATGACAATTATTTCAGTGAAAAAGTTATACACAATCTATTGAACTGCTGACAATTGAATATTGATTACAAATGGCGACTGATGATTTGAATTCTCCATCTGAAGATGATATTTTCCAGGATAAAGAAGAATTACTAAAAGAGGCGTATTCAAATTCAGTCAATGAAGTGAATATACTTTCTAAAGAATTATCAGACATGTAACTAATTAACTATCTTTTTCTTCCTTATAAAATATAAATTTGTTTTAATAGGCAGAAAGAATTATTGTACATTGAACATTTAATAGATGAACAAGAAATTCAAAATGTAAGCTTTACTCAAATGCATTTAAACAACAACAATAAAATATTAAAAAATTAGAATGAATATACTTTATATATTGATAAAAAGAGAGAGAAACAAATGAAAAATACAACAACATTAGAAGATTTTCATTTGTATACATTAGGCGAATTGAAAAAAGACAGAGAGGAGATGTTATCAGCTTATGCTAAAAAGAAATCCGGTAATTTGAATAAATTTCCTGTTTTATACTTTTGAATACCTTTCAGAATTACAAAATACATTAATACAAGAGAAAAAACTGTTGAAAAGTTTCAAGGAAGAATTAGCATCCACTGCTGATATCCAGGTAAGAGGGACATGTATGAATACTATCCACCAACCCATATTTGCCAATTTAGTAAACTCTCGAAGCAACTGGTTTATACGAACATAAATCAAACAGTTCATGAATATAATAAAGTATCGCTTTTTAGCAGGGATTTGAACGATTTCAGGACTGATCGCAAACTGACTTTAGAGAACAACTAAACACCAAGAAGTATTAGATAGTCATTTCGTCCTTATTTGGAACTCTTTAACATTGAGTATCCATGACCCCACCGGGGAGTGAAGACAGGACCTTAAGATTACGAAGCTATCTGTGATGGGATCATGGGTGATTGCTGATGAAGCACCCTAAATGAGGACGAAACAGCTGTCCAGTACTCCCTGGCTTTCAATGGTCCTCATATTGAGGTCAGTTTCAAAGAATAGCATGAACTATCGCCAAGTGTTGAGGATACTAGACCGCATATATACAGCTTAACCAGTCTACTTAAACAGTGCATTTATTATTATTATTATTATTATTGTTTCCTTTAATTCCCAGAGAAGCATAGGGCTTCAGACGAACGTCTCCATTGCGTTCGGTTCTCCGCCAATGTTTTCGTTACCTGACTCCATGTCTACCCACATGCTTTTATCTCCTCTTCGCATGACCTCCTCCATGTCACCCTAGCACTGACGACCAACTAACTCACCGCTTTCCATTCGAGTTCCACTCGAGCGATGGCCTGGCATGTGATGTCACTTGGTGGTTTGTTTTCTCAGAGTGTGGCCTGCAATCCACCTCTATTTCTTCCTGCACATTTGTTGCACAATTACTTGCCGCTAAGTTGGTTCGTTCATTGCCAGAGATCCCTGTTGCTGATCTTTTCTCGCCAGCTATCTAATCTTGATTGGTTTTGAGCGAAAACATCTGTTGATGGTGTGTAGTTCGTTCGAAGTGTACTTCGTGACGCGGCAAAGTCTCACCAAGTCTCTGATCCGTATAGTAGTATTGACTTCACACTGAAATTGAAAGTCCGGATCTTATTTTTCATGCTGAATAGTGCTGTTGACCTCTACATAGACTTGAGAGAAATGCAAGCTTGCATTGCTTTCCCGATCCTCGCTTTGATATCCTCGTCAGTTCCGCCTGTTCAATAAGTTAAATGTTTGGTGGTTGTTAGGACGAGCGTTTCGTCCTATTTTAGACTCATCAACTTCACCTCAGTCAGCAGTAGTATCCCTACTAAGTCTTCAATCCAGTAACCATTGCTTCAAATGACACAGCTTTATCCACTTGGCGATTAGGTTACGACAGTCGACTGTTATGCAACGGGTATTCATTTGAAATTATTTTATTAAAGTGGAGAGTAACTTCGACTCCTTAATCCAGATGATTTTTTTTATTATAGCTTGATTCCATACAGTATTTTTGGTACAAGTATGGAATTTTCAGTTTGTGATATCGGTAGCCAAAATTTAGCAGGCCGACGACTGATATCAGGTGTGTGTCTGCTGGGGATCGAACCCCAGATCATGTGCATAGCCGGCGTGCGTCCCAACCGCTGTGCCATCGAAATGCATCCGTTAAATGAAGTCATATATCAAAGTGAAGATGATCATTGTGATCAGATATATCATCAAGAAATCATAAACATGATTAAAGTATGAGTCTAAAATACTCTAATTCACAATTAACTGACGGTCGGTACCTACACTGTCTCCGTTACAACATAAAACTGATACTTCCACGCATTAATTACATGAAGTTCCCGTCTATAAAAGGCGAAAAATCAAGTCTTCATTCAAAGTAAGCTTAGTGGACCAAGGATAATTGAAGCGTCTTTTTTCTCAATCCTGTCGTTCCGACTAGAACATAGGGCTTCAAGCTTGAAACCTTGAAGGTGGCGTTGCTAGCCTCACATCCAACTCTCCCTCTTTTCCGGGCTAGTCGTCAGCCTAGTTCGGGAATCATCGGCAGTACGCACCCACTGCCAGGGTTCAAACCCAGGACCTTCCAGTTACAACGCAAACTCGCATACCATCCAGCCAATGGAAGCCAACTCCTCAATGGCCACCCCATGAATTCTAACTTCTACCAGTTCGTGATATTTAGCGCCACTGGCACCAACCAATGTCATCGGTGGGAAATCCATCCTCACACTTGACTGGTTGGACCTCACTTGTGACGACTTCTTACTAGAACACCAGGAAACTTCTTCCTGCAGTGAGTCACTAGAGAGCATCAGATTAATTTTGAAGAGTTGGTTTGTAAGGATTAAATTTGCTCCTACGAGTTTGACCACGGATTGATATCAGTTAGAGAACCAAGAAAGCTTGTTGTGTCCTAAACGGTATACATATTTATAGTGATTTTCAAGTCTGGCTACAGATTGGTGTCGGTTAGAGAACCACTGGAGAGCTGTTTCGTCCTAGTTTGCGACGCACCTTCAACAAACCAGCTTTTGAAAATCAGTCAGATGATCGCTAGCGACTAAGTACAGGACGAAGTTTCCTGGAGTTAATTCTAGTGAAAAGAGATGACCAGTGGAGTCCATCCGGTCGGCAGTGAGGATAAATACTCGCCAGTGATGACACATTGGCTGGTGCCTCCAGTCGCCCTAAAATCACGAACTGGTAGAAGTTAGAATTCATGGGCCTGCGATTGAATTGGTTCCCAGTGGCTGAATAGTATACGAGCTAACTCGCCTTGTAACCGGATGGTCCTGGGTTCAAACCATGGTGGTGGGTGCGTACTGCCGATGATTCCCAAACTAGGCTAGCGAAGCAGCTGTCCAGTATGTCCAGTTTCAATGGTTTACTCATATCAATCCGTGGTCAAACTCATAAAAAGAAAAAGATTTAGTTGTAAAATTCCCTAACTATCTGTCATCTTCTCTGTCATCCTGGATATTATCTGATCGATAAATCGTTCGTAGAGAGAGAAAAAAAGTACAGAACAAGAAGCTAAGCAAAGATTTCTTCTTGACGACGTCATCCTCAAAAGCTGTACAATCGCATTTTTATATATAAGTTTACAAAGTTATAATTATAAATTAATATTATTGAATCGAACATAATAACAAAGGGAGATTAAAAATGGTTATAATTTTCAACTTGATATGAATATTTAAAGATATGAATGCAGATCACATGGGGCATAGAAACGAAATTACACAAGACCCAAAAATAGTTGCTGAATATGTAAAATAGTTTTTAACAAAAAGCAATGTGAACGAACGAATGACCATGCACATGGTCTGGGGTTCGATCCCCGGCCGACGCACTTCTTTACCTCGATAAGCCAGAAATAATGCTGGTGAAGAGGAAAGCTTGGGCATGAGGCTAGCAACCCCATCCTGTAAAATAAACACTGCTACAGAAACTTCAAGCCACTAGCTTGAAGCCCTATGTTCCACTGGGAAAAGTGAAGGAAAAAAAAAAAGTGAACGAAATGTGCATGGAAATAAACTGAAATGGCAGTTTTTATAAATGAATACGAGGAAATGAAGGGAAAAGCAAACGAACGAAAACTAAGGTGCCGAACAGAATTAGATCCACTGGTAAATGTTAAGGTTAAACTGGTTTCTTTTGAATACATAGCCTTGGCTTCTCGATACTGCATATGGCGAGGGCTTCCGCAGTAGAAAGGAGTTAGAAACACACTACCTTTGGTAGATTGTTGTTCAGTTTGTAAATCACTCTGAATGATGTGTCAATTGAGATGCTGTGACAAGTGCTGGTGGGGTATCCAATTATAGCGCTTCTGATTGAACCAGTGTCGCCTCTTTGCAGCCATGCTTTGAAAGGAGGCGCATAGAACCACTTATGTACTTAGCTCTATAGGAGCAGGTGAGTTGATATATACACATGGGAGAGGTTATATATTAGGAAGTTTGTTCTCCACATTGCTTAGAAGCAGTGGGCAGCTAGAGAATATCACTGTCTCTGCGGGAAAGGTCTTCTTTAAGGGAACTAGGGATTTTCCTTTTTAGGATATCTGTCGCCGATTCTCATATACAGTATTTTTATGGTATTGAACAGCATTCTTCTCTGCAATTAATAGTGTTCTCTGAGCTGGTTGGTTTAGTTGCAGAGCTTTCGTCGTCCTTCTGGACATCTTCAGCGCGATATTTAGCACAAAGTGAAATGATTTGAATTTCTTCATGAGTGATATAATTGCGTCTCCTGGTAACTATCTTTACATATGTATTGACCATTTTCTATTGACTTGGATTTTAAACTTTCTGGTCACATGATTTACTTTTTATTAGTTGGTATATTTCGTCTATATTAACGTGTTAATTGCATTTTTGTTTGAGTACCAGGCTTCTAGGAATTCCCTGGCACTTTTAGTGTTTCCTCTGTCTAAGATTTCAACATTATCCCAATCAAATTGATGACCATAATTGTCTATATGCATTGATACTAAAGAATACATATCGTGTCTTTTCACGGCTGATTTATGTTCTTGGATTCTGATTCGAAGGGGACGCCTACTTTGGCCAATGTAATGTTTGTTGCAGTTCATACAATTTATTTTGTAAATGGTATTAATTTTATCTCCCTTTTTCTGTTGGATGGGTCTTTTGGTTTGCATAATATCGAATTAAGCTATCTGACTGGCTTGTGGGCTATATCTATATCAAACGGTTTCAGTATTCTAGCTGTTATTTCAGAGATATTTCTCATGTATGGTAGAAAGAATTTTCTTGTGGTCTTTGATGACGGTTCTTTGTTGGTGTTTTGATTCGACTTTAAACACTTTTTGATAAAATTCTGTGGATAACCATTCTTTTTGAAGACCGTTTGTAGGTACTTTTCTTCCATTCTTTTCAGCTCTGGAGTGCTACAATGTGTCTGAGCTCTTTTAAACAATGTCTGCACACAGTTTCGTTTGTGAGTAACCGGACT